TATCGAGTGCTACCGAGTGTTATCGATCTCGATAGCACCCGATAGCATCTCGATAACATTGCTATCGAGTGTCATCGAGCTCGATAGCCCCGTCGACGAGGCGTTCGGCGCGACCCGGCCCATCTCGCGGTGCCGGCCGGATACGCGAAGCGGTGACCAGGAGGGCCGCGGGGGCTTTTTCTTCTTCGCGGTGTTCCGCGCCCGCTACAAGGCGAAGGGGAACAGTTTCGCTGGCGTTCCCAAGGTGATCGGCCCCTCGGGCGCGCAATGCGAGAAGTTCAAGCGCTACCGCAGGGTTCTCAGTCCTCGATGGAGAAAGGCGCCAGAGGAGCAGCGCGCGCCACCTCCGCCGAGAACGCATCGTGGCGTGGCCGACCCGTGGGCGGTGGTGCTGTCGTGCAGTTTGTTTGGATGTCGTTGGGCCAGTCTGTGCAATCGAAACGGGTATTGGGTGGTCTGGATCTGTTTCAGGTTGCGGTGTCAGAATTTCTTGTGAAGTTACCGGACATGCAGTCGTTATTTGACGCGTGCGCGTGGTGGGGGTGGGGGCGGGGGGCATCTCGGCACGGGGGCGGCGTGCGCATAATTGCGAGTTGCATGTTCGTTACGAATGCTAGGAAAGGCTTCGTATGATGAAGCGCTTCGCTAATTCAGTTGAATTGTCGCTAACATTCATTCAAGAAAGAAGCAAGAAATCGGCGTCGTCGGTGCTTGAGGCCATCGTCAGAATCCATTTTTTTTGTGCCAAGGGGTTGCGTGCAGGCCCCGAGGACATTGGAATGGCCCCGCAGGTAAACTGCAACCCGAAAAATGAAAAAGAAAGTAGCGCCCAACGCGCACCGATGGAACAGCTTTTTTTTTTTTTTTTTTTTTTTCTCTCTCTCTCTCTCTTCCCGGAAAGGGCATAGGCCCAAGGTTCTCTTTTAGTTGGTTTACCCCCGGTTTTGACTTGTTGAGGGCCGGCGACAGTATTCTGCGTAAATAACTTTTTTTTTTTTTTTTTTTTTTTTTTTTTGTTCTCCCTCTTATTTTCTTTATATATATTTATAGTGTTCATATAATATATATATATATATATATATATATATATATATATTATTATATATATATATATATATATATATATAAATATAAAACAAAATGCGTTTCGTGCGTGCCCGCTCGAGGAAAGTGCGCCCCCCATTTCGGATCCTCGATGTAAAAAAAGGGGTCCGCAGACCCCCGTTTTCCGTCGTTAAAAAAAAAGGTGCGGAGCGTTTTTCGCAGAATCCTCGACAAATTACGGGGTCTGGGGCCCCGACCGCGACGCGGAAAAGCGCACCGCGCGCAGGAATTCCGAGGATGTCTCGCGCGTGCCGCGTCCCGCGCGCAGGAATTTCGAGGATGTCTCGACTAATTTGGTTGTTTTGTCAGGATTTCTTAGAATTTTGGCCGGATGTCTCGAGCGAAACGCTTGTTTTTCATAGTTTGTTGAGGATGTCTCGAGGGAAACGCTGGTTTAGCAGAATTTGGGGATGTCTCGAGCGGGGGCTTCGCGGGGGGCCAGAATTCAGAGGATGTCTCAGGCGAAATGTTTGTTTTCGTGTCCCGCTTGCAGGAATTCCAAGGATGTCTCGCGCGTGCCGCGTCCCGCGCGCAGGAATTTTGAGGATGTCTTGACTAATTTGTTTGTTTTGCCAGGATGTCCTTGGATTTTGACCGGATGTCTCGAGCGAAACGCTTGTTTTTCATAATTTGTTGAGGATGTCTCGAGCGAAACGCTGGTTTTGCAAACTTGGGGGATGTCTCGAGCGGGGGCCTCGTGGGGTGCCAGAATTCAGAGGATGTCTCAGGCGAAATGTTTGTTTTCACGTCCCGCTCGCAGGAGTTCCGGGGATGTCTCGCGCGTGGCACGTCCCGCGCGCAGGGATTTTGAGGATGTCCCGTAGCGCGTCCCCTTGGCACGTCCCGCGGTGCGTCTTCATGGCACGTCCCTTGGCACGTCGCCTGGCGCGTCCCTTGGGACGTTCCACGGCGCGTCCTCCTGGCATGTTCCCCTGTCAAGTAGCTCTGGGGCAGCTACTAGTTATGTGTTCAGGCAGCTCGAGCTTAAGATCCAGATCAGTTCGGTCAGGACTCGGATGCAAAGGAGGAGTCGATTCACAACGCTATAGAGCACAATCGTGGCATGGCACATCGCAATTCAGCACAGCGCTGCACAGCACAGCCCTCGGCACGGTACATCAAGATCGATACAATCAGCATTGCACTTGCCCGTCACCCAGTCAGGTGTCTTTGAAAACGTTGCCATGCGTTACATTTCTATATTCCTTTCCGGGTTCGTGGGTCGATCATGTTTTTTTTTTCCTTTCCGGAAAGGGCGTAGGCCCAGGGTGTTCTTTTAGCTGTTTACCCTCGGATCTGACGGCTGTAGGGCCAGCGAATTTCTGTTGCGATAAATAGCGAGGTCGCGTAGGGCCGGCGAATTAAAATGTTGAGGATGTCTGGAGCGGAACGCTTGCCTTTTCAGAATTTGTTGAGGATGTCTCGAACGAAACGCTTGTTTTGTGTTATCGATTGTCTTCTCCTGGGGACCAGACTTTAGAGGATCTCTCAAATGAAATGCTTGGTTTCACGTGCCCAGGTCTTGAGGATGTCTCGAGCGAGACGCTTGGTTTCACGGTTCCAGGTTGCCCAGGCAGAGGTCGAGCGCCAGGATTTGTTGAGGATGTCTCGAGCGAGACGCTTGGTTTCACGCGTCCTCGTCGCCCAGGCGGATGTCTAGAGTGAGGAGGTGTTGAGGAAGTTTCGATCGAGATGCTTGTTTGCACGTGTCCAGGTTGCCCAGGTGGATGCCTAGCATGAGGATGTGTTGCGACTGTCTCGAGAGATACGCTTGTTTTCACGTGTCCAGGTCGCCCAGGCGGATGTCTAACATGAAGATGTGTTGAGGATGTCTCGAGCGAGACGCTTGCTTTCACGTGTACAGGTCGCCCAGGCGGATGTCTAGAATGAGGAGGTGTTGAAAACGTCTCGAGCGAAACGCTTGTTTTCACGTGCCCAGGTCACCCAGGCGGACGTCTCACATGAAGATGTGTTGAGGATGTCTCGAGCGAACTACTTGTTTTCACGTGTCCAGTTCGCCCAGGCGGATGGCTAGCATGAGAATGTGTTGAGGATGTGTTGAGAGAAACGTTTGTTTTCACGTGTCCAGGTCGCTCAGGCGGATGTCTAGAATGAGGATTTTGACAGGATGTCTCGAGCGAAACGCTTGTCCCCAGCATGTTCCGTGGCGCGTCCCCTTGGCAGGTCCCGCGGTGCGTCCCCATGGCACGTCCCCTGGCATGTCGCCTGGCGCGTCCCTGGAGACGTTCCGCGGCGCGTCCTCCTGGCATGTCCCCTGTCAATTAGCTCTGCGGCAGATACTATGTGTTCAGGCAGCTCGAGCTTAAGATCCAGATCAGTTCGGTCAGGACTCGGATGCAAAGGAGGACTCGATCTACGACGCTATAGAGCACAACCGCGGCATGGCACATCGCAATTCAGCACGGTGCAGCACAGCACAGACTTCGGCACGGTACATCAAGATCGATACAATCAGCATTGCAACCTGGCACGTTCCTTGGCACGTTCCGTGGGGCGTCCCTTGGCGAGTCCCCCTGGCACGTCACGTGGCGCGTCCCCTGGCACATTACGTGGCACATCCATTGGCACGTTCCGTAGCGCGTCCCCTTGGCACGTCCCGCGGTGCGTCCCCATGGCACGTCCCCTGGCACGTCGCCTGGCGCGTTCCTTGGGACGTTTTGCGGCGCGTCCTCCTGGCATGTCCCCCTGTCAATTAGCTCTGCGGCAGCTACTATGTGTTCAGGCAGCTCGAGCCTAAGATCCAGATCAGTTCGGTCAGGACTCGGATGCAAAGGAAGACTCGATCCATGACGCTATAGAGCACAACCGCGGCATGGCACATCGCAATTCAGCACGGTGCAGCACACAGCACTGCCCTCGGCACGGTACATCAAGATCGATACAATCAGCATTGCACTTGCCCGTCACCCAGTCAGGTGTCTTTGAAAACGTTGCCATGCGTTACATTCCTATATTCCTTTCCAGGTTCGTGGGTCGATCATGTTGTCAAGTAGTTCTGGGGCAGCTACTATGTGCTCAGGCAGCTCGAGCTTAAGATCCAGATCAGTTCGGTCAGGACTCGGATGCAAAGGAGGACTCGATCTACAACGCTATAGAGCACAATCGTGGCATGGCACATCGCAATTCAGCGCGGCACAGGGCAGCACAGCCCTCGGCACGGCACACCAAGATCGATACACAGCATTGCAACTTGGCACTTTCATTTGCTCGTTTCGTGGGGCGTCACGTGGCGAGTCCCCCTGGCACATCCCGTGGAACGTCCAATGGCACGTTCCGTAGCGCGTCCCTTTGGCACGTCCCGCGGTGCGTCCCCATGGCACGTCCTCTGGCACGTCGCCTGGCGCGTCCCTTGGGACGTTCCGTGGCGCGTCCCCCTGGCATGTCCTTTGGTCAAGTAGCCCTGGGGCGGCTACTATGTGCTCAGGCAGCTCGAGCTTAAGATCCAGATCAGTTCGGTCAGGACTCGGATGCAAAGGAGGACTCGATCTACAACGCTATAGAGCACAATCGTGGCATGGCACATCGCAATTCAGCACGTCGCAGCACAGCACAGCCCTCGGCACGGTACATCAAGATCGATATTTTCAGCATTGCATTTGCCCGTCGCCCAATCAGGTGTTTTTGAAACGTTGCCATGCCTTAGATTTCTGTCTTCCTTTCCAGGTTCGTGGGTCGATCATGTTCCCGGAAAGGGCAGAAACCCAGGGTTCTCTTTTAGACGTCTACCCCCGGTTTCGACGGCTGTAGGGCCGGCGAAATTATTTGCGATAAATAACAAGGTCGCGTAGGGCCGGCGAGATTATTCTTAAGGACGTCTCCAGCGAAATGCTTGTTTTTTTCAGAATCTGTTGAGAACGTCTCGAGCGACCCTACAG